GAAAGGGGGTCAAACACCGTATTAGTATGGTGTTCCTAATAATCCTTTAGGTGAGTGTATAGATATCGTTAAATTAAAAAAAAAATGTAAGAAATGCTGTTTTTATAAAAATATTTCTCTATTGATGCACCATTGGGTTTGTATGCTTGACACACTGTTTACTTTACATCTTCCAGCTATGACAAACACATTCTGCTGCCTGTTTTTCGACTCTTCACGTGATTCACTTGCGTCTCTCGCATCGATTGTCCTCTTTTCATCTATCTTCACAGATTTAAGGAGGAACCCTTGACGTTACAGCTCTGGATCGCCACCTTATGGTCAATGTGTGTAACTCGCGAGTTTGTCATTTCCGACAATTGCGCGAGTTTTCATGATCCAGTATCCTTCAATGATTAAAATCCATTGAAAATCCACCCATCAGTTTCCTGTAACCGCTTGTCCCATTCAAAGTATGGGGAGGAGGGGGGGTGTCTAGATCCTGTTCCGGAGGTTATGGGCACAAAGTGGGAACAACCCAGGACGGGGGGCCAGCCCATCGCAGGGCACACTCACACACCATTCACTCACACATGTACACCTATAGGCAATTTGGTAACTCCAGTTAGCCTCAGAATGTTTTTAGACTGTGGGGGTGGAATCGGAGTACCTGGAGGAAACCCCACAGCGACACGGGGCGAACATGCAAACTCCACACGCATAGAGCCACGGCAGAGACTCGAACCCCCTTCCTAGCGGTGTCAGGCAACAGTGCTCACAGTGCAAAATTAGAAAATACCATGTAGTATTTCTAGTTTTATTGGGATTTTCCCATAATGTATCCAGTAAGATTAATTTTCAGAAAATGTCAGTTTTAGTACATTAATGTCTGTTTATACTGTAGCTTGAAGACCATTTAACTACTGTAATGAAGTCAATTAAGTAGCTGTTTGTAATATTTATTAGAATTTAAACATACTCAAAACTCAAATTCAATGTGTGAACAATATTCGTGAACAATATTCGTGAACATGTTCCTTCTGTATGATCATGGCCACTTTTCCAAGTTAGACACAGGGGGAAAAAATCGGAGGAAAGTATTTTTCATTCTTATGACAACCTATATTTCACAAGCCTGAAAGCCCGTATAATGCTCTGCATAATTCAGGCGGCATACTCTGCATGAACGTGTCCCATCCGCAGGGATCGTGAGCCTGTCCGTACACGGACTAACGTTTCCGCTGCAAGATTGTTCTGTGTCCGTGGCAAGACGTTTTGACTGAGGGGGAAAACAGAAATATGTAGGCTACGTTTTTAAGTTAAAAAATGTATTTTGATCAAAATGACCGTCAGTATTCGACAAGGTGTTGACCTGAACTTCACGAGACACATAGCAAATAAAGTTTTTCAAGAATATAAGTTGAAGAAAACTCAAACAAAGCAAGATGTGTACACAGTAAGAATTAAATTACAGGAATGAGGAGTCATCGCTGAGTCTTAATCTTTAATTCAAGCACAGAACTGCTTTTGATGGATGTATTTGCCTCACGTGTTTGTATACGTCAGTAGCGTTTGATGACGAAGCGATGATCAGATTTCTACGGGAAGAACTTAATTTCACGATTCCTTCACTTTTTTTCTTGTTTTCTTCTTTTTGTAATGTCCTGGAGATAATTAACATTCCAGAGGGTCAGAGAGCGGCAGAATACTGAGTTCTTGAATAACATCCGTGTTTGTTATGATTCGGGAGATGTGTACACTTCCCCTATATATTTTTTACATATACTTTAGTCACTTTACTGATGATACATGGACATGCAATAAGAGAGAGAGAGAGAGAGAGCATAGGAGAGGGTGGCGTCAGAGACACACCCCTCTCTCCTGCTCCAGCATGCTGTATCATGCACGCTGGCGCCCGAGGTTGTAGGAGAGCACTCACTAAAGAAGATTAGGTCACTGACAGGAAGACTCCTAAGCGAGAAACTACAGTGAAGAAAACAGTATATTCTCCGACCTCCCGTATTTCGGTAGAGCGGTTCTCCATTGCCCACCTGTTCCCATCCTTATTCGTCAGCCTTCCCGAACCTCATATGCGGCTGGCATCACTTATCAGAAGATCTCCCTTTCCGACGCTCGCCATTCCGTGTCTTAGCTGATCGAGTCTCTTCAAAGGCAGGCAGTCCTTATCCCCAGAGCAGCGGTGAGTCCACATAGTATTGCTTCTTCTCTCCGTCTTTTTCGGTTCCCTCACTCCTTTGCCTCCCCTTACCCTCCTTTCTGAGTCTGTAGATGCGTCCCGCTCTTCTCGGACCTGTCTGCCCCATTCTACAGCAAAACTACGGGGCTCATGGCAACTAATTATTTCGGTATGCGTTTTTCGTGGGTCTGGTTCTAACATCTAAAATAAACCGAAGCCTTGGTGATGTCAAGATGTAAAATGATCTTTTCCGCTATCACTGTTTTTTTTTTTTCCCGCTATCACTGATTGCCGAAAGGAGATAACAGAAACATTGCATCACAGTATTTTATTAATTATTGTCTTCTGTTTGTCCATATTTATTGTTACACCAACACTAGTGGCAAAAAATTGTGGAAACACTTAGCATTTTTGGTGTTAAGTTTTATAGATCACTGCACGAATATCAGCGATAATGTTTATAAACAATCAAAGAATGTTACAAATATCAAACACTGGACGATTAAATAAGTAACTGGAGCAACAGCTGAATAAAGTACTGCAATCTCTAAACATTGGTAGTGTTTCCACACTTCTGGCTACTAGAGAACTTTGTTTCCTTTTTGATATTTTAATATTTGAGGTCTTGATAGACTGGCATTGTGGATTTTCCATGACACACCACTACTAAACTGTCAATGTTATAGAAGTATGATACCAGTAAATGGCCAGTCGTTCTCTTGTATGGGAAGCACCACATCCGCTGTAACACTTGTAGCAATCCACAAAGACAGGAGATGGGGGTCATCTCTTCCCCAGAAAGGCAATTTTTGACAAGGAGATTTCACAATTAGGGATCACAGGCACAATGGTACGATGCTGTTTCCACTCTGCATGTTTTAGCATGTAATGTCTTCACTTTGCCAGTGCTTGCAAAATGACGTCATATACATTTTCTTTGGGTATGTCAGCAGTCTTGAATTCATACACATTTTCAACGCATCACTATATTAGGAGATTTTTTTCCTGCTTCCTGTGATTGTATATGGATACGGATCTCAAAATGTCAGGATAGGGTGGCAGTGTGAAGTACAGTCATACTGAACTGGATGTCAGCCAGATAATGATGTTGTTTTTACAAGTGAAAGTATTTTTCAGATGATCATATTGGGGCTTAAGCCCGTCAGCTTTTCCTATGAGAAAAATCTGAAGATTCTTACAAAGAACATAATCAGTTAAGAGGTTTCCTCAGAAAGTATTCTGGGTTGTGAACTTTTTAGCGCTTCCTGTCAGTTAACCAGTGACTGATGTCAGCTGCTGCCCTAATTTCTTCGCCTCCTTTTTGAGTAACTTCTGTATCAAAGAGACAATGTGTTACCTCAAGCGAGAATATCTGGTACAGGTGGGCATCAGATGATGTAAAATTCAAATGAGGACCTCGAAAACCGTTATTTCATCGGTTTGATCTCAAGTTTCGCTAATACGCAAAAATGTAACAAAAATGTGTTTCCATTTTTAGCTGCCCCTGCCAATTTTTGCTGCGTTTAAGATGTCCGTTACTAGTACAGAATGTCCGCCTGCCGTCATATATATCCCACACCTTGAAAGGCATCATTTTAACTGGAAAGTCAGCATTTTTCGCTTCGCATGGGGGTGGTCATAATGCTTTGGCGCGTCAGTGCATATGGAGAAGGAAATGCATTTATTTACTGATAATTCCTTAGGGCCTCTATGGACACTGACACAGGCGCACAGAATGTATTTATGTGGCACAATGTAATGTAATGAAAAAAAACATTCTCTGTTACGCTGTAGCTTTGGATTTGGTTCGGGTTATGTGTCTGTACTTGTGGGTAATCCTGTATTTGAACTATTAATGTACGGGCCAGCCAGAGAAAAAAAACCCTTATCGTCCAAAAAAATATGTAAACATCAAGGATGAGTTGAGCCTTCTTCCTTAAAGAATATCGATTTATCTACTGATAGATGGACTTATCTTGCTATTATTTCATACCACAGTGATGGCCAGAATTGACACCACTACCGTCTTCGATTCCTTTATCTCTACCACGGTTAATGAGACCCTCAGAGCCAATGAGAACACGACGAGGAACCGCGTCACCACTGCAGTGGGTGCGCTGATCCTCAGCTTGACTTTCCTCATCGGTGTCCCCGGCAACGCCTTCATCATCTGGAGCATCCTGGCCCGGACCAGAAAGCACTCCATCACCACCATGCTCATCCTCAACATGGCATTCGCCGACGGCTTCCTGATGGCTCTCACCATCATCTTCATCGTCTACCTGGCCAAGCGCAACTGGGTGTTCTGGAACGCCGGCTGCCAGCTGCTCTTCTACTTGTGCAACGCCAACATGTACGCCTCCATCATGCTGATCATGCTGATGAGCCTGCACCGGCTGATGGCCGTGGTCTGGCCCCACCGCGAGAGCGCCTTCACCAGCAAGAGGATCATACGACGCCTGCTGCTAGGGTTTTGGATCCTGGTGCTCGTGATGGCGGTACCTGGCTATGTTTTCAGAGGGAAGGCGCAGGTCAACGACACAAACGAGAGCACACGTGAGGAGTGTATCCCTATACACCCGAAAAGCTGGCATGTGAGTGTCAAAGCGAAGGCTAGGGGGTGCCGGCGGGGACCCTCTGCCCAGTTCTGCTTTAACCGTCCTTTGTCTCCTGCAGCTGATTTTCCACTACTTGTTCGAAACAGTGGTGGGCTTCGTGATCCCCTACACCATCATATTGGCCAGCTATGTGTGCATCCTGCGTCGGCTGAGGCAGACCAAGTTCCGTAGAAGGATCCGGAGTGAGAATCTCATCCTGATCATCGTGGTGACCTTTTGCCTCTTCTGGCTGCCCTACCACATTTTAAACGTGCTTCAGGTATGCATTGGCGTTTCAGTGTGTTTGTGTGTAGATTGGGTAATTAAGAGTATGGTGGAAGCACATGAAGAGGTAAAAATGAAGAACACTGTCCTCCCAATGACCACATGAAACCTACCTGCAAGCACAGGCACATGTATGATAGTTTGCATGAAAATGAATGAATATGTCTGCAGACATCTGCGACATTGTTGGCAGGATTTCTGGGTTTCCGAGTTCAGTCCCCACAGAGGGTCACATGGCTGATCACATGGTCTCATCAGCCAATTACACAGCTCCCTGCCCCATAATACCCACCCCCAAGTCTGAATGTGGGGAAACAGGGAAAATAGGAAACATTTTGAAATACAACTAATTCATTCCATATACAGGGGCATTTGCTTTCCATTTTAAAAGAATAATGTGGTATGGGGTGGGGAGGAAGCCCTGGAGGAGAATAGCACAGATAGTTATACTGCCATCTGGTGGAGGGAGGTTTGCTGATCTTAACTATAAAGGCTTATTGATTGCTAGCATTCATACATATGGCAGAATCTGCCTCACCGCGAGGTGTAGTTACATTTCTGGAGATATGTGTGACAGGCTGTGGCATCAGCGATGCCATACTGGCGACAAAGATTCCATGGAGAAGTAAAAATCAGCCTTAATGCAACACGCTTTTAATTCAGTTTGAATCAGCAAACATGCAGACATGCTAAAAAGACCTTCATTTAAACGAATAACCAACGACATACCAACCAAGGTGCAACATCTCTGAACAGAGACGTTTTAGTTGTGCTTTTGAGATTCAGTGTCTAGAACTGAGATTCCAATTCTGGCTCATTCGACACATTAATTCATGTCATTGACAGAAAGCAGCTTGTAATGAAAATGCCAACTGGTTTAATTCCTTGCTGGAGTTCTGCAACTGAATCATTAAAAAAAGTGCTGAAGATGTCCATGCGTGCTTCAGGTTGGCCGTACTGCAGCCCTAACCCTGACTAACCTATTTAATTCAGAGACCAATGATCAGTGACATTTGTTCTCCAAGGACCACCAGTGACAGGGCATGCGATGCTACCAGTTCCAAGTCATATGTTGTCCAGTTTAAATATCTAATTTCTCGTTTGTGAGAATTTGGTTTGTTGCTTTTTCACTAAGCTAAACCACAGTGACTTCTGCCTGACATTTATCCATATTGAGCAATTGTCATTTTCTTCCCCTACAGGTTGTAATTGAAATGTTTTGGCCAAAAAGCAGGTATGAGTACAAAGTAAAAAGAGCACTACCTCTACTGTTTTTTTGTGATGGTTTTAATTTGTTTTAATGATGATGTCACCCATAGATGGCTAGGCCTCTCTGAGTGACTTTGAGATTAACAGCACGCTTGTTAAGTATATAACAGAGTTCTAATAGCTGCTCTTTTGCCTCAACTGTAAACACACAGTTTTAAAGACACCGCCCAGAGCTGTCGTTTCATTACCGCCTCGCTGGCCTTCGTCAGCAGCTCCGCCAACCCCGTGCTCTACACCTTCGCCGGCAAGTCCTACATCCATAAAAATGGACTGTCCTTCATGGCGAAGCTCTTCGAGGGCACGGCACTGGACTCCGAAAGCAGGAGGAATCGGAAGGCTAGTCGGGAGCCCCGAGATCTGGCTTTGGAGGAGAGGGAGGCTGACTCGTCCTCCACCAGTGCCAGCATCAACACGGAGAAGAACAAGATTTAGCCCGAGGCTGGTAACGGTGGTTTCTGCCCATGCGATGCAGATCCTGCTCACACAAACAGTGCTTGCGATCTTTTTTAATTTTACGCCGTCGCTCCTCTCACAAGCATTAACCCGAATGCATATGTACTAGGGGTGTGAGAATCTGTCGACCCATTATGGTGAATCGGATATTAAGGTTGTGATTCAATCCATCTGCCTGTAAAGGAGAATCAATTTTGGTGGGAAAATAAACATAAAACAAACGCCCTCGCGTTCACATGCTGCGGCTAGACTAGGGTGACCAGATAATCCATGTCATCCCGGACACGTTTCCGATGCATCGATTTCTTTCATTAATAATCGGAAATGAATCCCTTCGGGAGCAACGATTTATACCCCTGTAATATGCACGTTTATGCAGTTTATGTCCACCAGGGGGTGACAAAAATCAACATACAGGCAGATAGAAGTCATGATTATCCAATAGGAATGCTCCTTACCTAAACCCTTATGATTATCCAATAGGAATGCTCCTTACCTAAACCCTTATGATTATCCAATAGGAATGCTCCTTACCTAAACCCTTATGATTATCCAATAGGAATGCTCCTTACCTAAACCCTTATGATTATCCAATAGGAATGCTCCTTACCTAAACCCTTATGATTATCCAATAGGAATGCTCCTTACCTAAACTCTTATTGGATGATCATGATTATCCAATAGGAATATGCCTTACCTTAAGCTAGAAGTCATGATTATCCAATAGGAATGCTCCTTACCTAAACCCTTATGATTATCCAATAGGAATGCTCCTTACCTAAACTCTTACTTGACGATCATTACTTCTAACTTAACTCGCCTAACTGAGAAATTCTGCTTTGTGGAACACCCCCAGGTGTAATGAGCAGAAACATGGACCCCTGAACAATGGAATACTGAAATATGGTGGATTAACTTATCTGGGGGCCCCAGGGTGACATCATTTAGCTAACGGCCCCAAGTTTCCTGAGGCGGGCCAAGGTCTTGATGTTTGACGGGGACCTAGGCTATAGCATATGCATTACTTCACCCTACTGGACAGGGTCACGTTTGGAGAAGGCCCATCGCCATCTCAAACATGGTCGAGGAAGCGTTATGTTAAAGGTCCCCATTTTCTGGGCGTCATTAGGTCCAACAATTGCTCTAAGATTGCATAATAACCAAGGAATATGAAGGCTGTTTTACAGGACCAGGTGAAATAATGCTGTCGACACTATTCCCAAGTGATGGATCCATACTCCAAGAGTATATCACACCCCATACACACTGCTAGACTAATTCAGTCGTGGCTTCATGAACACCAGGACAAAGTCTGGATAAGAACACAGTGTTTGGTGCAGGCGAGTCTCTAGCTATTGAAAAGATCAGGGGTTAAATCAAGTTTACCTGAGGATTGACATTTCTTTTTTCAAGAAAGATTGGCATCGGGGCTAAAGTACTTGGGGCTATACTTAAAATACTCGGGACTATACTTAAAATACTAAGGACTATAGTGATCGGACCTAAGCACACCCATGGTTAGCTATTGATTATTTTGTCCATCCCCAGTACATCTGCACGTATATGTATGTATGTATGTATTTGTTACACACATATTTATGTGTAATTTATTCTGAATGGTAACGTCTTTGTGTGCATAGTTGCATTTCTGTTGGGTGCCACATTGCATTTTTTGAAATCAATTGATTTTTTCAAATGTTTTTAATGTTTAATGTTTTAGTGTGATAAGACCTGACTCTGGGTGTGGAAATCAAACTCAAAACCAAGGGTGTAGATTTTGGTATGGATAGTGAGGACGTGTCCCTACCAATATTGAGGGAGCAATGTGCGTATTTGGGGGGTTGGGGGTCGATTTTGTCTCCCCCAATGTTGAAACCCTCCCTACACCGTTGCTCAAAAGAGTCTCATTGGATCCCCATTTGGTGCGAGTCTGAGTTTTAAACAGCCTTTTTAAAATAAGTAAACAAGAATAAAAGCTCTGAAACCTAATAGGTGACAAAGACGATTGTAAAGATGAAGAGGATTTAAGTGTGTGAGCAGTTGTGTGTTTAGGTTCAAACACCTTATTTTGCTAGGTAGATACATTCCTGATCTGCTGTGAAACACTGGTGTGATCTGTAATGGAAAGCAATTTGGTTTTACCAGTGGCACTAGATTCCTGTCAGGGGAAGGGCACTGAAATGGGTGGGGCATTTGAAGAGTCAAAAAGAAGGCTGTATTTTCATTCTATTATGCACACAAAATAAAAAACACCATATTTTCTTAAATCACTAAGTAACCACGGCTATTATTTCTGTGTATTAATGGCATTCTGGGACTAAAATGGTAGTTACATCACATATGTGCATTTGGGAAAACTGTAGTCAGCGTTCTATGGTTGACATCTCAAGAGCCAATGATGATGGGCGGGCACCCAGGGGGCTAATCGGATTTCTGAGGAGGCGTGGTGGGCGGAATCATCATGTACTGTGAAGTAGCTCAGTTTAATGACAGTACTTATAGTGCTACAGGCAAGGCTGTAGAACCTGATTCAGTAACAGAATGATTCCAGTGAGATGTCTGGCTGCGTAAATTGGGGGGCGGGGGAATGAGGGCCTCTAAAGTGTAAGTGGACTGAGTGTAATGCAAACATAGATGGTCCGATATCCTGGCCTTAAGGAAAAGTGATATTAAGCCCTTTTTAAAATCACTTGTAATGGCGTGTTAATTTACACGTTTACACAATACGATCACGACAGTGTGGCGCGGTGGTTTGCACTGCTGTGTCACGCCTTTGGGACTTGGCTTCTAGCCTTCATCAGAGTGCCCTGTGTGGAGTTTGCAGGTTCTCCCCATGTCATTGTGACGTTTCCTCCAGGTACTCTGATTCCCCCTCCCAATCCAAAAACATGCTGAGGTTAACAGGAGCTCCCACATTACCCATAGGTGCCCGTGTGAGACTGTGCCCTGTGATGGGTTGGCACCCTGTCCTGGATGCTTCCCTGCCTTATGCCTGTAGCCCCCCGACCCCCGTGACCCTGAACAGGACAATCGGCTTCAGAGGATGGATTACAAAAGTATTTCTCTACCATACTTCATTGGAGAAGACATTTGTGGGGTACTCCCTCACATTACTTCTGGCATCCTCACACTAACATCAGCCGTAGTCCAAAGCTGCCAGCTCTCACACGTCTGGCGTGACTTTCAGGCTCAAACGCTCAGGCAAGAAATCTTATAGCAAATCTATATTATTCCATTATAAACCTAAAATTAGCTACACCAAAAGCGTTGGGGTACTTTGCAATCCCTACAGACTTTTTACAAGGTAATAAAACTGTGACATACATGTAAATGCGTGTGCATGTGTGTGCAGACACATCTCGAATTGAAAATCTCACTCCAGCCAGCCGACCATAGTTGGCCGCCTAGTCTGTGAAAAATAAATCTTTGCACAACCATATCTGCTGCTTTTCTCCTCCAACCAACATGTTCATGTTCGTGCTGCTCAATGGGAGGTCATGTGTCCTGGACTTAAATAAACCTGCCCACATTGTCTGCACCAGGCACTCAATTTCCAGACCCTGGTTGGCATACAAACCGAAAATTAATCTGGGCCTCGCGATCGTAGATCTGTGGTTCACATTACAGGGGGGGGGGGGGGGGCAAAGGGGAGCTGGGTTCACCTGAAAGGGACACAAGCCCCCTTGAAATCCTCCCCCGAGGATTTCTGTCCACTTTTGTGTTATAGGTTATATTTTGTTGTTTTTCTTGTACATTAAGGTTCCTGAAATAAAAATAATAGTATAAATATCTCAGTGCTGTATGTTTATTCGCTCATTACATTCCATTTTCCGAACATCTGTCTCCAACACAATTCTGTGTCTATTGCTGCGGTGTCCATCCATGCATGGTGGCCTTGCACTTAGTTAGATTTACATAGCCACCGATACTCCTCATCATTGACTGGGTGTGGTTCTGTTTCCCAGAACCAGAGACCAGCCTCCTCTCTTTAGTTGTAATTAATGGGTTTCTGTTCTGCCGTGTTTCTCGTAGCATGTCTCCCTTTAATAGTTTGCCCTGCTTGAACTCTCTTCTGGTTTCGTTTTGTGTCACGGGGGCGGGGCGTGGTGCAGGCAGAGAAAAGAAGGTGATGACCTACTTGCGGCTCGGAGACAAAAGGGGTTTGTTAACAAAATAGAACACAACGAGGAAGGCACAAAATAAAAGGACCGCAAGGGGTCAAAAGAAAACAGGAGAGATAAGAATCTAACAAGAAATCATACAACAAATACATTGGGGAACTTAGCAACACAGGGAACAGGACTGAGTACCACAACAAAGTGACAAAACACAGGAACTAACTACAACTGCCTACAAATTCAATGACCCAGGAAAGAACAAAAGCAGAACAATTACTTAAATATATAGCTAACGACACACAATGCAGAACAGGTGAGAATCATAACCAATTAACCAATCACAAGGGCTCACGGCAAGCAAGGAACAGGTGTGGAATATTACAATTAAACAGCACTGGAGACTATGGCAAACTAACAAACAATAAAGGTATAAGTCAAACAAGGTAAACTGAGTAAACAAGGACAAGGAGCAAAAGACAAGGAACCAACTGCAATACAAAAACACCAGGGAAACCAAAAACCACCAAACAAAACAGATGAGGCTTTGCTCCTAGCCAGCTTTGAACCTGCAAGTCACAGGTTCCCAATCCGAGCCACACTCTGGCTGAAGCGCAAGTAAGAAGAGAGAGGACAGGATGGCCAGCACCACCTACTGGCCAAACAGGAAGGGAACACGAAGGGCAGGGTAGGATGGGTGCTGACGCTGACAATTACCCTGTTATTGACTGCGCTGCTGCGCACTTGAAGGCATGCACGTGCATGTGAATTGGGAAGGTACGGCACACACCAGAATCTTTGCCCCCTCCCCCAAATGCCACTGCGTAATTCAAGCCCCGGATAGATCTCAGTTGCCAAATCCAGTTGGCAAAGTCTACTGAGGGAGAAATATCGATAGGGTTCCATGATATTTACTTCTGGCTAAGAAGATAAGACGTGGGTTTTGTGTCACCGATGCATGTAATTTGGACCACTGAGAAAAACAGTCAAGTAGCCTTGTTCTGCTTTATCACCTGAACTCTTACCAAACTGCTGAGTGCCTGAGGGTCGATGCATCAAGCCTGAATGTTTGAGCGCTTGGCTGGATATTAATATGGATCATGTTTTATTCGTCAGCCATATTTTACATATGAAACAGTCAGCCAATGATTTGCTTTTAAAATTTTCATTGTAGCTCAGCTGCAGTCCTGAATGGAGAAGGGAGGTAAATCATGAATTCATCTGGGGAAAAAAAAATCTTAAAATATCTTACGGAAAGTTGTGCTTGTTTGGTGCAATGAGGCTCCCAACACGCTGAGGTGGGGTGACGGAAACACCAATAAAAGATAAAGCGGTTCCATGGTTACATCCAGTGGGCTGTGACCCAAAACTGTGCCGTGGGAAAATTGTCAGTGGGTTGTGGGGCACGTGTGATGGAAAAAAAACAAAACGTTTACACCACCTTTTCTAATGTTAGACTTTCCAACTTTCCCCCTCCCCTGTTAGCAAATTTTACCTCCCGTTCAGTAAATTATGTGGATTATATGTGTGTGGCTCAAAAATTTAAAATTTTGGATTGTGATTTAATGACCAGAGGGAAAATGTGAGCCCTGAGACCAAACCACTGATTCAGAGCGAACGTCGCTCACAATCACCTTTTGTGACTGCGATGGGAAACATCGCCTGCAGCTCATTTACCCATTTCCTCATACCCCATGTGTCAACCACAGTCTCTTCAGTTGCACTTTCACTTGCAACAGTTTAAAAATTTAGTGTGAGACAAAAGAAACTGCTACAACGTGCAACACTGGACTTTATGTTAGCCAGATGGCAGGAAATTCTTTCACTAAATATCTATGGTCAGGGCAACTTTGTAGCATAATAGTAGAATATGTGGATATAGCTACAAATGGGATATACTGTAGAAATGCTTTTGTTGTACTTTTGGAATTAGTCTTGTTGGCTTTGGGGATTATATCTTTGCATCTATTGTAATATTTTCATTTTGTATGTTGATTTATAGCAAAATTTCACTTCCTGAACTCATTTATTAACTACTTCTTTGTGCACATCATAGCATATAATATTTATTCGAGCATGAAGCTTGCTTTTTTGCAAGCATGTTGTTCAAGTTGGGTTAGTTTGTACTTCTCTCAGACTTTTATGTTGCCACTATATTATTATTTTTACATGTTTTTTTTTTTTATGTAACCAGCCAAGACCGCCACAGGACCATTTTCAGCATACTTTCCTTTGATATCATTTTAAAATTTAATGAATGCTCATCTTTATGAGAAATAATACTTCATTTTTAAGGACCAGAAGAAGTTTTACATTCACCTATGAATTTATCCTTGCATGGGGGAGGAATAAAACTCCAAATTGCCTTTATTGCGACATCATATCCTTCACATATAGCTGCATATGTTAAGAAACATTGAGGCTTCCCAGAAACAACCCAGAGCTTGAACTGACACCCCTCTGTTGGTCAATCAAAGCGTGATCTTCCTCTAACTGTGAACAGGAACAATTACCTCGGATGACAGAGCTCACGCCTCTGAGCGTGTGACTGGAGCGTCGAGGTGAGAGCGGTGAGTCACCGTTTCTTTAATTACCTGTAAAATTAAGGTGACGATGATCAAGTTCCACAAACTGAAACAGCAGGACGACATGACTGAGCTGTTTGAAGTATTTCTGTACAGATGCTAAAGAAAGACTCAAAATGCGTGATGTTCAAAGTATTATGCTGGTTTTATAAATATGAGTAATAGATTTGAAAATGTGGGTCTAAGGTCAAATCTTAGATTTTCAGATTTTCCTGTAAATAATAATTCTAATTGTATGAAATGAACTGGTTTGACTAGAGTAAAACCTAGTGGTTCAAAGAGCTACAATACAAAAAAGGAGGCACCTGTTATTCAACTTTTTCTGAAAACAGTGTTTTTCTCCAGTGTTTTGGGTTTATGTTGCTAGCTGGTAAATACAGAATGAATAAAAATTCAGGGTATTTTTTTACACCATACAATGGGGGCTCATTCCATTCAAACACAAACAAGCCCGAAGATCAGAGGGGTGACCTAGAAGGCGAGTTCACAGCTTAGCAATGGTTTTTGAGACTTGCAAATTCTCAGCTCACTTTTAAATGGGACATATTGCCAGGGTAATGCACGCTGAATGCCTAACCAGAAGGATGTACTATGAAGTGGGTTTACTGGTTTAGCAAGGTTTTGGGCTGACTTCCAAGTTTTGGACACTACTAATTGTTACTCACTTTTAAATGGGGTACACTGTCACAGTTATTTAGACTTCACGCCTAACCTGCTCCGAGTAGGTTAGCGCTGCGGTTTGGATTACAGCAGGCGTAAAAAGTCTGCCCTTTCACCGAAAAGAAAATACACAAACTGCCCTTTCGGGAAAAAATAATAAAAAAAACATCATAGCCTATAGGAGCTGCCCTTTGACTGAATAGGTGGAACAGGCAATACCACTGACCATAGGGACTCAGGCTTTTCTCTTAGGGGTGCAAGGAAGGTAAGAGAGTCCAACCAGTCATTCCCCCAGATAAGTAAAAAAATGCAATTACCACATTTGCAATAAATTATTATTACATACTGATGTGACTAACACAAGCCACATTTTCAAAAATAACGTATATGTGGATATATATCATTTTAAAGGTCCACAAGGATGTTCAGTTGGCTGACTTCTTCCCCACAACTAACTGCCACCTTAGCACAGTGTTACCCAACGCTCTCCCTGGAGACCCACACAGGGGACTCCCAGGGACTCCCAGCTTCCAGTAGGCAGAAACGTGGACTGCCTGGGGTCCCTGGGGACTGGGCAGGGAAACCCTGTCTTAGCAGGTCCTCTTCCTTGTTCTCCATCTCTCTCAATAACCTGCTTTCATCATTACTTATTTCCTCTTGCACTCAGCTCCTTCTTCGTGCTCAAAATGGCGGATGCCAAGGAGTGTGTCGATGGGATTAAGGCATATGACAATACTGGTTTGGAGCTGGTCCCACTTTCCTGCTCGCAGGATGCGGTGCACCAGAACCAGCCCCCACCATACATGCCACCACCCTACCCAATGACTCCATACCCTCCCCCGATGCCCCCAGAGCCTGGATTCATCATGGACCCACCCCCCCAATACTGGCCCAAACCTGAAGAGCAAAACCCACCAGCGGAGACTGAAGGTAACAATACAGGAGCACTTCATCTTAATTTTCTTGAAGATTTGGAATAATAACCATCCATGCTGAACTACAAGGGTAAAATTATTTCCTTGCAGTGACCAGCATGCCGTCAGAAAGAATTATGATTGTACCGACCGCATTCGATGACAAAACCACCCGCAGAGCTTTCATTCGGAAGGTGTGTCAGCCCGGCGTTTCGTTGAGAGGCGCCACTGATTGTTGAGGAACCTCTGGCATTTCCTCGCTCTACATCCTGCTGTTACAATACTTTCAGTACTTAACCTCACTTGTGAAAGTCACGTTAAGTGCTCACTTGTGTTCACATGTTTAGTAATACTTGATCACCCGCCTCTGGTTGGCCTGTTAAAATAACCGGAGCTTCTTCCCTTCACCAACCACAGGTCTTCTGCGTGGTGACCCTCCAACTGCTGGTCACCTTCAGCATAGTGTGCGTGTTCACCTTCTCCCAAACAGTCCAGGGTTGGGTGCGCAATAACCTCTGGGTGTACCTGAGCTCCTACATCGTGTTTGCGGTGGTGTCTGTCTGCCTGGCCCTCTGCAGTTCCTTCAGCAGGAGCCACCCCTGGAATATGTTGGGGCTGGTAGGTAACACACTCTTGTTTAAGCCCATAAGATGCTGCTAACCGCCCGCTAGGTCAACGTTTCCCCACCCAGTCCTAGGGGACCCAGTGACGGCTCCCATCTGTGGGTCCCTGTGGACCAAGCTGGGAAACACCGTGTTAGGTTACGCTCTTTTTTTTCACCCCAGCAAGACACTGGCTTATTCTAGGCGATGAGCTAAAAATAGAAACGATGATGCATGTGATGTCACTTCCTGTGCTCCCAGGCGGTCATCACTCTGAGCCTGTCTTACATGGTCGGTACTGTGGCCTCCTACCACAACACATCAGCTGTGATTATTGCCATGGGATCCACACTAGTCATCTCCTTCAGCATCGTCATCTTCTCAGCCCAGGTATGCTCCACAGCTTCTGCCGGCACAGGACGACACGGAGATACTCTGCGTCCTTTTATCCCCATAATTCCTTGGGTTTCCACCCGCAGTCCGACAATATGATTTGGTGAACTGGTATTTGTAGACGACCCCTAGTGTGTACGTGTGTGCCTATGACATCCTGACATACCAGCTAAGGTGGCTCTAAGGTTGTACCCTCTGCTTCTACAGGTAGGATCCTGCTTCACCCTAAACTGGTTTAACTATGCAGGGCAAATACCTAACTGTACTATAGCCAGGACTTTTACATTCAGGTCAAACATCCTTAATCATCTCGCCACCTGCTGGAACTCAAATGAATGGGTTCTGCTCTCCCCTAACCTCACCCCTGCACCCACAATAGCCAATCTGCCATTTCAGACTCGCGTGGACTTCACTCTGTGCAACGGAGTGATGCTGGTGCTGGCGATGACTCTGCTGATGTTCGGCTTCTTCTCCATCTTCTTCTACTCCTCGGCCCTGCAGATCGTCTACGGCACTCTGGGAGCTCTCTTGTACTCCTTGGTGAGTGAAATATCGGCTTATCAACCGCGGTCAGACCGGCATCGAGAGCCTCAGCGTTCGAATGCTATTTAACCATTCGGCTATTGACAGCCGTTGGGGTAGAGGGTCGGCTCGTCACGTGAGAATAACTGTTCTGGCCCAAAGCAGAGTCCAGCCTACCCAGCTATCCGCCTTGCTCTCCTCCTTTCCTCAGTTCCTGGCTGTGGACTGCCAGCTGGTCATGGGCAGAGAGAAATACGGCCTAAGCCCGGAGGAGTACATCTTCGCTGCTCTCATCCTCTATCTGGACATCATCACCATCTTCCTCTACCTGCTCATTCTGTTTGGAGGCAGCTCTAACAACTAGGCATGCGTGCAGATCATGCACGCAGACCACGCACGCAGACCACACACACACACAAACCACGCACGCGCACACACACACACACGCAGACCACGCACGCACGCAGACCACGCACACAGACCACGCACACAGACCACGCATGCAGACCACACACGCACACAGACCACGTACGCACATACACACAGACCACACATGCACGCACGCAGACCACACACGCACGCACACAGACCACACACGCACGCACGCACAGCACGCACAGAGAGTGAAACACACGGAAATGTGCGCACACAAAGAACGTCAAACATTGCATGGAAATCTCTGCTTTAATGCTGAACAATTTGCAAAGCAGGTCCAATACTTGTTAACAGCATTTAGCAAGTAAGCATTAGGCCATCATATTTTGCATAGGCCAATTAAGATGGTATCTTTGCAAACAAATGTTAACTTCCTGTTACCTCAAATGTATCAAGAAAGGAACCACGGACCGGAAAAGCTGATCACAAAATAAACAATATGAAACATTAACTACAGCCACAGTGTCTTTCCTTGTGACGACGCGTGTGAGAGTGATGTCACTTCCTGTGCCTCATCTTCACCACAATGAGGGGTAGTTGAAGCGCACCCTAAGCAGGTACCTCATGCGTGACTGGGCAGGGTTGTACACGATAAACTCGTTGTACAGGAGGGAGTAGCCTTTGCCCTGGCCCACCGCCGTCTTCACTGTTGGGCCCATCGGCACAGTGACGCCATCCCTGGGGGGGGAGAGGGAGACGGCAGTGAAACGGCGCTCGCACCATCACTGTAAATGTAACACCCCATTCGGACGGAACGGAACTGGATGGATGGGATAAATGTTCCTGCCTGGAAAGAAGGCGGTGCGACACGGACAGGGGGGCCCAGCGGGCCCGTCTGCCCCCGGCCCCCCGATTACGCTACAGAGCAACTGCAACTTTAAGTGTCCTACTAAAAAATAAATAGATGATGCTTTATTTGCCATCTGCACAAGTAAAGGGAAAAACCAAAATCATAATATAGTAAACAGTATATAATCGTAATCGGAAATAGTGCAACAATCTTAACCCCTACCCAGCCCTAACCTAAACCAAAAGTAACTATGACAACCCTAACCCCCACCCAGCCCTAACCTAAACCAAAAGTAACCAGACAAAATATAAGACTTCAGGCATTTTTAGTTTTTTTTGATTGCATTCACAGATTTTTACTGAGTTGCAGAAAAAAGTCCCAAAAAGGTAAAAAGTTACAGGTTTTTATCACATTGTGAAGAATTCCTGTCCTCACAATGTAATAATTACAAAAACAGCCACGCACACATGCATGCACATCTGGTAGTGAGCAGTTTCATGTAGGAACTATTTTCTTTCTACCGAACTACGAGTACATACACCACAGTTGCTATGTATTATTGTTGGTAGTTGATGGAGAAGCTGTTCATTTGGGTCAAAGCTGCATTCATGCATGAGCGCTCTGGCGCGAACTTCTGCACAGTGATACGGTTGGTGTGTGGAGTTCAGGTCATGATTTCTGCTAAGACACATTGCTGTTGAATACTTCAATTTTATTTTTTTGATGCTTTAATCACCACAGAAAAAATGCCATTCAGCCTCATTATATTCATATTTCTACAAAACTAGAGCAACCTAGATAAATTGACTACAGGCTATTTGAAAAATACATTTTTTGATTTTTGGGTGAACTGTCCCTTTAAATAAAGAGGAAGAACAGTGCATTACTGACCTCTTTTCTCCTGCCCCATCCTGCTCTCCCCAAGACACACACAGTCACACACAGGTGAGTGCAAGCTTGGGGGGGGGGTCACAGTGAAGCGTCAGCCACATACGGCACCCAAGGAGCTGGGGGATAAGGGCCTTGCTTAAGGTCCCACGGACATGTGACCGTCTTGCCGAGGCTGGGACTCAAACCGACAACCTTCTGATCACAGGCACAGAGGGTTAGCCCACTGAGCAACTAACCACCCCGTCTTAATCTTTATCAGCATTTTAGCTCGGGTCTCATAGTTATAAATGGACTGGCCTGGCCACGAACTCACAGTGTGACGGCGTTTCTCGGGTCGGGGGAGGTCTGACCCAGGCCCTTGGTGCTGTGTTTCCCCGCAGGCAGGCGGGACGCCTCATAATCCGCCGCCAGCAGCTCGTTACTGTCACCCAGGGCCACCTGTTCACAGCAAACGTCAACGTACATTTCCGGCGGAAAAGGCCAGAGCAACACGACTGACTTTCAAGCACGAAATGAAGCCAGCGGGCAGCACAGGCTAATTTACAGCCCCGGCTCGTCTAGGTGTATTTTTAATATATGGCTACATTAGCAGAGCGCAGGCTCCTAGCAAAGACCTGGGACTGAGCGTGCAGACGCATGCGGCCGCAGACGCATGCGACCGCAGACACCGAACCGCACCTCACTGAGCAGGAGGAGACCCGTATTGTTCTTCTGGTTGGTGAAGCAGTAGTTGGCGCTTTTCGATGACATGTCCGCAAAGTAGATACCCTTTCCGAACTGGAGGGAAAGAGGGGAAAACGACAGAGAGGAGAGAGACACAGATCCTCTACATCAGTGTTTGCCGATCCGGTCTTTGGGGACCCATAGACTGTCCTCCCAACTGCCAAATCTGATGTGTATTACAAAGACAGGTGACAGGTATGGCTGACGATGGTATCTAAGCTGGCCCTCCGCTGGCTCACCATGTATCCAGTGACGGGAGCCTCTGCGGGGGCCACTCGCAGGCCGTGGCTCAGGATTCCCACCCAGTTCGAGAGCCGGGAGCCATGCCACAGCAACATCCTAGCAGGAATGGGGGAGTCAACACAGAGCATCCTCTGACCAAACAGGCAGTTTGCTTACGACCAGTAAGATCGGGACAGGAAGAGGGATAACGACGAGAACAGGGCCAGTGTTTCGCAATCCGGTCCTGGGGGACCCACAAACAGTCCATGTTTTAGCTCTAACGGGAGCTGGGAGGGAGCAAAAACGCAGAACGTCTGTGAGTCCCCAAGGAACGAGCTAGGAAACACTGCTCTGAGCAGACACTGTGTAAAACAGAGCAGTGGCCAGAGTCCACTGGATCAACTAGAATTTGATCAGAAAATGGCACCTCAAAGATGTAAAAAAATTTTGCTATGCAGATAACGATCAAAAAGATGCTTAAAAATAATTTTCAGTTCAAGAGTGTTGAAAATCGACTGCAATCGACCCAAATAGTGAGATGCACATACCGGTTATGCAGCTGCGCAGTGAAGCGTTCGCTCTCCCCCTCACGCTCCACTGCGAAGATGTCCAGCACCGTCATGGTGTAGTCATGATGGGTCGTGGCGTGCGTGGTCTGCAGGTACTGCTCTATCACCTGCGGAGGAAGGGGCGGAGACTGAGGCATGCTGGGAAACCGCAGAAAGGCGGGAGAAGGGGCAGAGACACACACTCGGGAAAACACACACACCTTGTACTCGTGGCTTTTGGGTGACAGTGGCTTCAGTTGGCAGCGCAGGGAGCGGTACTGTCGGTCCAGCGGGTGATCTGTGCTGTCCATACTGGACTGCACCATCTTCACTGCTATCTCTATGTCGCTGAGGGCCTGTCAGCAAACAGTGCATCAACCCGCTGAGACAGACCAATCGCTCAAAATGCACATGGGGAAATTCTGCACAAAGGATACGTTCACAATAGGAACTTCACTGTCCAATTCTGATTTTTTGCTCAGATCGGATTTGTCTATCTGGATGGTTCACATTCATAATTACAAGTGACCTGTATCTGACTGTATTGTGAATGTATCTGTTCTTTGAAATGGTTTGCCTTTGCACATTTGGATAAGTCATCTGTATCACTAATAACAAGAAAATGCTCAGTGCATGCGTATAGGCAAACAAATTACATAACTTCCGATCTAATCGTTCACATTCATGTCGCATGGCAACGAACTGGATACATATCTGATCTAAGACCACATCTGAAAGTGACTCAATTTTGATTAGGAAAGACTGCAACACTGCCTGGGAAAAAAGAGCAAAGAGCACTGTTCCGTTATCAGGTACATAGGAGTATCGGTCATCACTGTGAACAGAGACAGCATCCCCCCTTCGTATCACTGTCTTACCTCCAACAAGGTGATCTTCTCCTTCAGCTCCTCCTCTGTCCGAATCAGTGGCGGCGTGCGAAGACTGAGACACAAGGATGGAGAAGCAACAGCGCAGTCAGGATGGTTACTGCCCTTTAAAACTAATAACAGGACTCCACTAAAGATTTAGACCAGTTAGGGCTCACATATCTCTGTCAAAGAATGAACACTTGAAGTTCTTCAGCTGTAAGATTTGAAGTG